GGGCCCATCTCACATGCCGTCGTCGCCATCGGGCTTGGCTCGACTCGTGGCTCATGGTAATACATGTCTTCGACACGTCCGCTCGCGTACTTTCTTTTTGGAGAAAATTCATATGAATTTTCTAAGTAAACAAATAATGTGAAAGAATTTTTCTTTGATATTTATAGGCTATGCAGTGGAACCAAACACATATAAGGAATCATAATCTATAGTAGGTTCTCCAAACCATTTCTCTAATGGTGTTTTACCACCAATAGTAATCGATGGTGAGCGGTTGACAAGGTGACAAGCATAGACCAAAGCCTCAACCCAAAATTCTTTGCCTAACCCAGCATTAGACAACATACACTGAACCTTCTCCACTAATGTCCAGTTCATACGCTCTGCCACCCCATTCTGTTGTGGTGTATATCTGACAGTGAAGTGCCTGACAAGACCTTCTTCTTCACAGACTTTTAGAAATAGATCATTTGTGTACTCTCCACCATTGTATGTACGGAGACATTTGATTTTTCTACTTGTTTGAGTCTCCACCATCTTTTTCCATTTAAGGAAAAATCCTAGCACCTCATCCTTTGTCTTCATTGTATACACCCAAACTCTCTGGGAAAAATCATCAACAAATGTGACATAATAGTGTGTTCCTCCCAATGAAGTTGTCTTGGAAGGCCCCTATACATCTGAATGAACATAATCCAAAATATCTTTAGTATCATGGATTGTTGTTCCAAATTTCACCCTCATCTTTTTCCCTTTGATGCAATGCTCACGAAAAACTAATTTGCAAGCCCGAGCACCCTTCAATAATCCTTGATCTATCATCAATTTCAATGATTTTTCACCAACATGCCCCAAGCGCATATGCTATAACTTGGTTACTTCTGACTCCTGATCATCAGTAGAAGCTACCACTGCTGTTGTCCCAACAATTGTACTACTCAGAAAGTAATACACATTGTTTCTTTTCCGGATTCCCTTCATTATCACCAGTGCACCAGAGATAATCCTCATAATCCCATATTTTCCCTCATTTCTAAACCTTTTGACTCTAAGGTTCCCACAGAGATGAGATTTCTCATTAAATCTGGTACATAATAGACACCTGTTAAGGTTCTGATTGATCCATCCTGATTTCTCAAGCGAATTGAACCAATCCCAAGTGTGTCAATAGGGGAATTATTTTTTGTGTAGACAATTCCACCTTTTAGTTCTTTAAAATCAAAAAACCATTCTCTATTGGGGGTCATATGGTGGCTACAAGCTGAATATAACAGCCATGAACTGGAACAGCTGGTTGATGGAGTAGCAGCGAATGCGAAATCTGAATATGCATCTGCATCATCATACTCGATCACATTTGACTCTAAGACAGCCTTTCCCCTTTAAGGTTTGCCTTTATTCTTTATCTTGGGACATTCTTTCTTCCAGTGCCCTTTTTATCGACAAAAGGCACATTCATCTTTGCTCAATCTGGACTTTGACTTCGATCTCACTCTTCTTCCTTTATTCTGACTCTTCGAATGGCCTCTAACAACAAGAGTTTCTGCTTCGACACTTGTGTTTTCTTGTTTGTCTTTCTTTCTCAATTCATAACTATACAATGCAGTTGTTACTTTACTGAGAGACACATCAACCTTCCCATGAAGTAGAGTAGTTTCAAGATACTCAAACTCATCAGGAAGTGATCCCATCAACATCAAAGCCAGATCTTTGTCTTCAAAAGTCACGTCCATATTCATCAGATCAATCACCAGCTGATTAAAGCTAGTAATGTGATCATTTATAGTGGTACCTGGTACATAGTTGAAGCGAAACAATCTCTTTTTCATGTAGAGCTTGTTCTGACCGCTTTTCTTCAAAAATTTCTCCTCCAATGCCTTCCATAATTTACTTGTAGAAGTTTCCTTAGAAAATGCATAATTCTTCTCTCTAGAAAGACACGATTGAATAGTACCACATGCCAATCTATTGATTATCTTCCATTCTTTCTCCTCAACATCATCTGGTTTCTGTCCTTCAATAGCAATGTCTAGACCCTACTGAAATAGGGCATCTAGAACCTCACTTTGCCACATGCCGAAATGGCTGGTGCCATCAAAAATCTCCACTGCAAATCTAACATTTGTCACAACATTTCTTGCCAAAATTGAAGATGAAGAATCTGTTGACGACGATGTGGATGTTTTTGTGTCGTTTGCCATTTTGCTACAAATTCTATTTAATAGCTATCAATGTTGAATGTCAATTAGCCCAAGGAAATATTTTTCTTATGTGGAAGATCAGCCTAAGCTGCAACCACAGAGCATACTAAAATAAACCAAGAGCTCTGATGTCAATTGTTGTGGAATTCGGGTTAATTTCCACCAATAATAACAAATTCACCTTGAAACTATTATCTAGGTGACTAGTGTGAAAACGATTGTACTAAAAATCACCCCAAGGTAGATTCCCAGGAAAGAGTGGAGGGGTCACAATGGTCCCTCTTAAAACTCACTCTCCTTAGACAGAACTATCAAGACAATTAATTTTAATAGGATAATAATTAACAACAACTTTTTCCCCTACAATAGCTATTAAATAGACATAAAAGAGAACACCAAAATTTAACGAGGTTACGCCAAAATTATGCCTACGTCCTCTAACATTACTAAAATAATATTTCACTAATAGAGGAAATATTACAAAGAGAGAGAAAGAGTACAAATAGCCTTTAATATAGAAGAAGGCTTATATTTGTGGGATGCTAAACTAAGGACGAGGAGGAGGGCTTATAATTGTGGGGTGCTAAACTAAGGACGAGGAGGAGGGCTTTATTTATAACAAAAGAATTTCCCCTCCTCCTTATACAAAACCAATGTGGGATTCAAAATTTGCCAAAAAAACAACACATTATCGGGTGCGATTTCGCAAAACTAATGTTGTTTATGTTTCAATGATATTATTGGAATAATTGTCTATTTTGAGCATGGGATAATTGATACATTGATATCAAATCATTTTATCCATTACTGTTAAAACTTGTTAGCACAAACCAACTTACCTCAGTGGCCTAAAGGTTATGTGTTCGAGCATCAGTGACTGCAGTAGGATGATTGTTCACCACTGCGATTTTGTTTTCACCACTGAAGTTTCAAAAGTAACAAATTGATCACTAAAACATCAAATACGTCATTCAACAATGAGTTTATATCTAGAAAACAATAATTCATTCTTGAGCCCTTAAGCTTCAATAACATCGGGGGTATGAATTTGAATCTGAATGCATATTCCACTGCTGTGGATATGTACATACATGCAACAAAAAGGTGGGTGGGGTTATGGAAAAAATGCTAATGTAGTTTCCAAGGCAGGCACTTGAGCTGAGGGTAGGATTGTGTCCAAGTAGTCGAGCATTCTCCGCCACTTTCATTGCAACATTTACAAACAACTCCAAACATGTTCCAGTTTCCTGCAAATTATATAAAGAACAAAACATCCCATTAGGAATCAGGTAACTGAAAAACAGAAACAATCAACAATGAATAAAAGCTGAGCATATTCTACTTTGCTGACACCATAGCCAGGGGCACAGAGGATATAGAAACAGAGACCACTAGCAATAACAGAAGCATAAAACCCAGGAGTTTATCCATTTCCCCTCGTCTATCGAGTGAGCAGCGAGGTATCTTTTAGCAATATAATTAGAAATCTTAAATATATATAAGCAAAAAGAAAAAACAATTTAATGGGATATAAGTCACACCAGATGTTTGTTGATTGTGTGGTTACTCAAACATAACGGTTGATTCAGCATTTAAAATAAAATGAAAATAAGAAAGTTTTGGGAGTCAATTAGATATCAAATAATTGTTCAAGGAACTGTTCGATATTTTAGTGACCAATTTGTTATTTTTAAAATTTCAGTAGAAAAAATGAAAACTTAATTAAACATTATTGACCATTTGGTTAGTTGACCCTTTTTAATTTTATATATTCATTTTTCCACGAGAGTAATCCTTTAAAGGTCTAACGACATTTAATCCTATATGATCACATCTTAATTAAATAAAAACGAAAGTGATCAAATATTTTTTTTAATTCACTAAGTAAAAGTGTACAAAACTCAAATGAAAGTAATCAATCATGTAATTTATCATTTTAATAATAGTAAAACATCTATTTTCCCTACCATACTAAGTAATTGTGCCATGGAACATTCAAATTGGTTTTTATTAATTTTTTCGTCACACATTATTTCCTCGGCCCTTTTTATTGGTTCATCGTTAATTTTCATATGATTTACATTGATTTTTGTCTTAGTAGTTAAAAAAATATTATTCTCTTTAGAAATTATGGATTTAAAATTCAAACGGGTACATCTACAGGTGTGTACATTATCAATAGTTAAAAAAGATTTTGAACAAGTACTATTTTATAATCACCTTAAATTATTCAAAAAAATGAACCTTAATTAATATTGACAGTAACCAATTTACATTTTTTTATTAATCTAATATGATTGCAAGTGATAGTATATACTCTAATCAATTTGTACCATAATATAAATGGTTTGAAGTATCATAAAAATAATAAACACATTAATTTCTGGTTTTAATTAATTAATCATAATATTTGTATAAATCAGCCAATGTATTGTTGTCTAGGTTATTTTAGCGATTAGCATGACCATTTGAATTTGATAGAAATATCCTGATGCAATCTAGAAGGTTAATTAACCAATTAGAGGCTAAAATTTCAAGGTGAGTGCATTAATTTTATGCACATAGTATAGCCAGCAGAAGCATGTACCAGTGCCTACAAGCTCTGAATCGATTCGTTAGAAACCGTGGGTGCTACGGTTGGGGCACTAGCCCAACGTAAAACCATCTCAAGCATCACCTGAAGATCACTGAACTTGTTGAATCTCAATAGCACTCTCGATGGTAGCTTATATTTGCATAAATTGGTTATCCATTGACTGTTCAAGCTACTGGAAGTTGGCCTGAAGCTTAATCACTTCCTGTTAGAGTTTGATTATATTTTCCAGTATCGTTCAAATATACTGCAAACGAAGAAACTTGTAGCTGCTCCAAACAACCTTGAAAGCACATCTTTAAATGCTTTGTTCAATTAACTGAAACACAAACTATCCTAAAGCTTAAACAGGTTCAACATGTTTCTTGAGATAATTATTACCTTTTTCATAATCTCACCCAATACAGCTTTCAACGTTAACGGTCCTTGATCTCATTTGCACTTTGATTTCTTGGCCTTGCGGCTTTCAACTTTCCTCCGTGCAGCTTTGAATTCTTCATCAGTGGGTTCAGAATCTGCATTACCCCCGTATTTGGACACCAGTGATGAAAACATGGAATCAAACTGATCTTTCCTCTCACTTCTGCGCTGAGATATGATTGCAAATAGATCTGATTCTGATTTCGACTGTTTAGTTGACCTGTTAAACACCAAAGACATGCCAAATATTTCTGCATAAGAACAAAGTCAAATATCTTTAAATGAAAGGAAAATACCCCAGCACAACACTCACTTCTTTCTTCTCAAGGGACTGGTAGGTGGCTTTATTTCAGATACTTTCTTTGCCCATTTCTGATAGGCTTTGGTTTCTTTCAATTCTCCTAAATAGGAAAAAAAAAATCATGAAAAGATCACCATAACTAAAAGCTGTAAGAATTTAATAGGCCTAAGAATTATGCACATCCTGATTTTAGTAAGTTCAGTTCTCTATGGTAGAATAGAAGTGGAACAATACTTTGATTACCGACAGCATAAAACACAGAAGGGAATAATCAGAAATGTTTGATCATGAAGTATCCAGAGTTAACCTTATTGGCTTTTAGTCATCCATTTTCAAACTAAAAACCAGGTAAGAACTTATGCTACATTTAATTGTACTTCTCAGGCAGAAAACTGATAATGCAGCTTGCTTTAAAAAAAAGTTGGAAGAAATCCTCACCAGCAGCTATTGCCTCATCAAGCAAATCCTTGAAACGGTGTGAGTCAAGCTTAGGATCTGAACAAAGCATTGAACAGAAGAGCCTGCCAAGGGAGCAACAGATAATAAATAATTGGAAAAGTGTACAGGAAACACACACACACACACATATATACACAAACTGCGCTCTTACTTATTCATATTGCCCTTGCACTTCTGATAAAGATTGGTTAAATCTTTCTTCTCCGATTCAGATCCCCTATAGTTTGCTTCAAACTCTTCAATATCAGCCTCAGTGACCTAGTGTTGATTAAACCATAGTGAATGAAATGGAACTAAAAGTCAAAATCCCAATAACATAAAGGAAATAGGAGTAAAAAAGAATGTTACCTTTTTGTACATAGCCCTGAAAAAGGCTTTCAAATTCTCAACAACATTCCCCGCAAGGTCCTGATTAACAAATGAATAGAAACAAGTTAGAAAATGCTCCATTAGTAAAGAAATAAATTGGACATGCCAGACTAATTAATATTTGAATTGCTAGTACAACAGTAAGTCTAGTGAAATGCAGTTTTCAATCAAAAGGTGACATGCATATCCTAAACATGTAACCCTGAACTTATATTACTTGGACTCATGTGAATGTCAAAACAAGCAACATGCGACACAAGTACTTTCAACTTCTAAAATTGTTTTCCATTAATTTGAAGGGTCATTGAAGGATCAATATCCTCATACTTGTTGGACACATGTGTCAAACACGAGTACTTCATGCAAAACAAAGATTCAGTATAACATAGCCCTGAACTGCATTAACTCACCGCATCATCAATGCAACCAGTTTGATCGTAGACTGCCCGTTTCTCCTCATCACCAAGAATGGATATCACCTTTTGCAATTGCTGAAATTTCTCTTTAGCTTCCTGTGTATGAAGGGAACCAAAACTTAACCTTACTCTCTTCCATGAATAATCACATGCAGAAACAGGAAAAAAAACCTAACTTAGAAAAACGAATAAACTTCAGCTTTTACCTCATCACCGGGATTTTTATCAGGATGTAGTCTCAGGGCCAACTTATAATATGCTTTCTTAATCTCCTGCTGAGATGCAGTCTCGTCAACACCAAGAACCTACAAACAATCAGTTGTTGTTAGGCCTCTTTGCTCAATTTTTCCATGGAAACTACAATAGAGAAACCACCCAAAAACACTTGATAATTCTCTGGGAATGAAGCAATGAAACATTTTGAGAAGTCACATTGAACCCCAAAAAATAAAATTGAAATTCAAACCCTTATATGTGCATAGTTTCAACCATTTCGTTCGTGAAAAAAAAACATCAAACTTCCGATCTAAGACAAATAAATCATTTCAATAAAAACGAAAAAAGAGAAAAAAACACTAAACTTCGTCACAAGAAAGTATGACACATTAACCCTAAATTCCAAATCAAAGTAACATAAAATTAAAATGTAGAAAAACCTCATATAAGCTCTTTTTGTTTGAAGAACAATGGTTTTCCACTTCTTCCTCTTCCTCATCGCGTGAAACCCTGGATTGTTTTCTCTTTCCCATTCTATCCAAATTTAACAAAGCAACAATTTTTTTTTTAGTTTTGGAATTTTATCCTTTTTTGATTTCCTATGGCAGAGAACATAAGGAATTTAGGGTTTGGGAAGAGTATTGGTTTCTAGATTTATAGTGTAGGTTTTGAGCTTTGATTCCTTCCCGCCATTTCGGTTTTTATTTTCCTAATTTCCCGCCGGTTGAGAATCCGCCGTGGACAGAGCTACGATAAAGGTTGATAATAAGAACACTGTATTCGCGCCGCTGATGATTTCAGTTTGGGCTCTGAGTCCGGCCCTTTTTACTTATACCATACTGCCTCTGTCATATTTAAGATGTTTTTATTGACTTTTTCTGGATCAGTTTTTTTTAACTAACTTATTATTTTTAAAATTTATTATTAATAATAATATGAAAAAATATTTTAAAAATATTTAATTAAATAGTTTCATAATATATATTTAATAAAAAAAATTATTTTAAAATATTTAAAATAATCATAGTAAAACTTTAAAAAGTTTGACTTTTAAAAATCGATAAAGAACACTAAACATAGTATTTGTATAGGTTTAAATATGTTAGAAGATGTTTAATTTTTATTTTAATAATTGGTTTTTATATATATTTTTTGTTAGTAGTTAACGATAAGATTGAAAAAATTAAGAGAAAGGCAAAATTTTAAATAAAAAGTACTACAAGAATTCAATTTTGAAAAAAAAATTAAATCATAATAAGTAAATTTTAATTTTGAAATGATGAACATTTGACATAATTAAATTCTTTTATTAATTTCTTTGATATGTCTATTACTTGTGTATATTCACATTTATTTTTTTATTTAAAAATTATTTCTATTTCATGAAAAAGATAATTTAAATATAAAATATTTAAAAATTAAATTTTTAAATTATAATTTAAATAATTATATATTATACCTTTAAAGGTGTCTCCTGAAGATACACCTAGAAAATCACGCTTTTGTTAACTTAGAGTATTGTACTTCTTAAAATGGCGGCGCTCACATGACTGGATCTTTGATAAACTCAAATAATAATTCACTAGAGACGAACTTGACAACTATACTATTGTAGTTTTGACACTAGTCTTCATAAAATCATGGTATTTATACTCCAAGGAAAAAATTGAAGAGATAGACTTCTTCTCTTGGGATCTCAAACAATCCCTTTGTTGTCCCCTCCACGATGTCTCCTCTCCTATCAAAAACTCATTGATAAACTCTTTAACCGTTCACGACTCTTTTTTTAAATTAAAAAGAGTGAATCGCTCAAAATTGATTAATTAAAATTATTCTATCAACATTATTAAAAATATATGTTTTCATCTCTACCAAAATCAATGTAAATTAAATAATTATATTATATGTGTAAAATTTTTACCTTCAGTTTAACAAAATGTTTAAATAGTCTGCAGTGATTAAAAAGTAGTATGTAGATTCTTGAATCTAAAACCTTTAAAATGAACAAAATTTTATTTCATCATCAAAGACAATCAATCAGTTCTTATTTATTTGATAGTTTTAAAGGTTAAATTTAGATTAAAAGTATAACTAATGGGAAAAGTCTTTTGAGTTCCAAATTAATTATCAGAACAAAATTGCTAGCTCTAACAAACAATCGATATGCACTAAGAGGAGGGAGAATTTATCTTTTTAAAATTTTGTGGAAGCAACCGAAAAATAGAAAAATTTGCATAACGATTTAGAATGTTTCAACTTTATCAACCAAAGTCTACATTCACTATCTTAGCATTTACAATAAGGATTTGTCAAATCCACTAGATTTGCTTACTTTCAAGGACAAAGAGTAACATTACAAACACTCCAAGGTTTATACCCCAAAACCTTAAATACACACTCTCCCAAAGAGTAATTACAAATGATACAAACACTTGAGAAAACCTCACTAGACAAATATGTTTGTACAATTAAAGTACTCACCCAATACACACTTGAGCAAAAGAAACAATGTAGTTCACAAGTGTGTTTAAAACAAGGAATTTGACAAATTAAGCACAAAAGAATACATTGATGTTGGTAGGTTGGTTCAATATGGTTCTTGATGACCTTCAGATGCTTTAACATTCAATTTGTACATTCTTTATCTATTCTAGTCGTTTGGAGCTATTGAGAGTTATTATAGTCGTTACCTACAACCAAAAATAACATTTAATGCACAAGAGATCAATCATTTGGTGAAAGGGATCGATAATTTTTCAAATATTTTGATTGTTGTAAGAAAGGGATCAGTCATTTAAAAGAAGAGATCAACCTTTTTCATCGAGAGATTGATCCTTATGCTGAAAGGACAATCATTTTTTTCTAAGGGATCGATCCTTTGAGTCAAAAATCCTTGAAAAATCGACTTTAAAGCACGAAAATAATCAAGTATGTTTTTTTAAAAGATTTGACTAAGTTTGTAAACATTTAAAACATATTTTTATGTTAATTTGGGCTTTCAATTATTTTTGAGAAACTTTAGCTAATTCAATTAATTCTAAAAATCAATATTACAATTTGTTTGTTATATCAAAATATTAATTCAACAATTTCTCATCTTTGATATAACAAACTCTTTGAAAATTTATTCTTGAAAAATGTTTCCCATTTAAAAATAATAATAAAAGGATCTGTGAATTTGTGAAAATTTTTAAAATCCAAATTAATTTTGAAAATCTTTTTTTATTTTAAACTTACTTCTCATTTTTTATTATATAAAAAATAATTCACAATGTTAGTAGAATATAACAAAGGAGATAATGTAAACAAAAATAAAGCTAGAATTAAGAATAATCATATTAAGATAAATATTAACCATCACGATACAGGATAAATAACATCCATATAAGTTAAAGTACCAAAGACATAAATATCTAAAATATCAAATACATATAAGTTGAAATATTCAACATGAAAACCATCCAAATATCAAAATATCCAAATAAACATAAGTTCATAATACCAAACATCTAAAGTCAGAGATCCAAAATATAGCAAAGTCTACAAATATGAAAATGGAATACATGCATGAACTAAGACGGAGATGGAGAAAGGAAAGAGAATCCATCAAGTTGACACTGAATCGCTCGAACCTCCTTAATCATACGTGCCTCAATAACATTTTTATGAGTAGCAAGGTCATCAAATCGAGCATCAACATGATATTGGAATGATCTGATAGACTGAAACACCTTTCCCTAAAAATTTTGAAAGAAATCCTCAGGTGACATTGGGTTTATATGAGTCGCTCTCTTAGGCTCATCTTCATCATCGTCGTCATGAGTACCATCTATTTTCTCGTCTCCATCATGCTCATCATCTCCAGGTTCCCCAAAACAATTATGGACCTACTGCATGGATCTCTCGGACTCCACGATATAGTCAATCTTTGTCATGGTCGCATGTCTATGGTACTATCGTTAGAAGAGAACGTGCAAGACTCATAAGAGATATCAATATCAAGCAGCTCAAAAAAGTGACTAAGATACATCCAATACACAAGATTTGGTCGAGCTTTCGATTTGATGACACTCACAATGTCATTGAAGATCATGCTATCAACGTTCTTGTTGAATGTAATACATCCACAAATAGTAATTCTCGTGAACCCTCGAGAATTTTATACCACGAGCACAGATGCAATAGGTGATGATAAGATAAAGCAATCGATCGTGGAGGGAGAAAATGGTGGCTCTATTATTTCTAAAGCGTATTTGGAGGAAAATGGAATTTTCATTGTTATCACTGATAAAAAAAAGGGTCAAAAGAGTAGACCATGAGGTCGGTAATGATGATGATGGTATGACACATAAGATATGAGATAATGGTCCAATGAATGATGTCATCTTGAGTTTAAGAGGATGGCACTCGAGCATTCGAACAAAAAGTTAGAACAAAATATTTATAAGTAAGGACATGAAAATTTAGAAAATAAAAAAGTTTTATATCCTTCAAATTGTGCTCATAAAGAAAATCCAAAAGATTTAAAATTTGAAATCAATTTTTCAAGTTTCCTTAATCATATGGGCTAAGAAAAAAGAATTGAATCTTTCACGAGCTTTAGAGCTTTTAAAACATAAGTCAAGAAAAGAAGCAACTTGAGGATTGTTCGAGGAAGCTCGTTTAGAGGCCATGGTTTTTCTCTTTGACATTTTTGAAACAATTTAAAGAAAATGTGATTTTGAACCAAAAGATATGTCTAAAGGATGCTCAAAAGTAATTTAGGAATAATTTAAAACTAATTTTGGGTTAGAAAAAGTGTTATGACTAAATGGGTTAAGGAAGAGTTTTTGGTTTAGGAATTTTATCAAACAACTTGTGGTTGTAAGATAAAAGTTTGAATTTTGGATAAAATTCGAAGTGGATAATGCTCCTTACATAAAAACAAATGATTTATAACAAATATAAGTTCTCTAAACCACCTAATCAACCTAATTTTGTTTGAATTTAATTTTTTTTTTAAAAAAGTTAAGGCTTTTGAAAAATCTTACACAAATGTGTTGATTATCTAAAAGATGAAGAATGATTCATTGAAAGAAGTTTGATGGAAGAATTTTACACGAAAAACCCCTTGAAACTGGATTGAATTGAAGGATTTTTTTATGAAAATGGAATTTTTGGTGTTTTAGAAGAGTGGTTCGAAGTAAAGGCTTGAAATGGGTGATATACATGCAAAATAAACTTTAAAAAAGCTTTTCCCCACATATTTGGCATAAAGGGATTGATTCTCATTTTGAAAAATGCAAGGGATCGATCCTTTATTCAAAGGGATCCTTTTTCTAGAATTTTGTATTTTTTACTCTAATGACCAAATTGCATGACACTTGACTCGAATAAGATGCAATCTAAGTTATATTATTGATAGAGAAATATTTAACTTAGAGGATGCTAAATGTTCATGAATGTCAATTTTAAACATCAAATTATGCAAATTTTCATTATTGATCAATTTACTCCATAATTTTCACAACTAAAGTTTAAATAAAGTTACACAAACATACAATGACTCTAAATGTCCTAAACATGCATATTTTCATTTCGCTACATGTAATCATCATGTTCTCGAAATTAACATATGTGATTAATGTAAAGCATGGAGAAAATGGTTTCACATAAACAAACAATATTAACATTTAAGGCGAAAAAATATTAACGTAAGCATATTAGGCCATAAATATGCAATTCATGCAATAACAACTCCCCCTAACTAATTACAATTAAGGATTATGTAGGGACACTCAATAATGCATATAAACATATAA